CTTTATACATTATGTAGATTTTCCTCTCCCTAGATAGACCTCCTCACCCACCTCTGGGACTAGTGGTTGATCTTGGTTTTCTAAATCATGAATTTCTATTTTTATTTTTTGTGTTTTAATTTCAAATTCAATGGTTAGCAAGGGGATCAATGTGTGATTTTGACGACATAGAGAAGCAAATAAACAAATAGATGCATTTTTATAAAACATGGGCTGTTGAAATGAGGTCACCGCCAAGAAGTCAGAGCCCATAAAACCGAGATTCCTTATATGTGAACTTATAAATTTTCGTATTTTTATGGTTTAATTAAACAATAACCATTTCATCCAATCCAAAATAGATAGTTAAATTTAATTGGTATCCATTCAATTCAAAAACTTGAATTTGAAATTTGAGATTCAGGATTATGCAATAACTTAAAACACTAATCCTCATGAATCTAAACAAGAGAATACTAAAACTAATGAGTTTTAGGGCCTGTAGTAACCATACCATTAACAATTTTACACAACATTAATAGTATGTTTGAATTAGAGAGTTTGGAGGGAAAAGGAGTGAGAGCGAAGGAAAGATGCCTCCTCTTGTTTGGATAACTAATTTTAATAGAGAAGGAAATTTTAATAGAGAAGGAAGGAGATGGAAAACCCTTCCACTTTTTTATTTTTCATCCCTACTATTCGAATTGATTGCAACAAATTTCATTTGTGAATTTATTTAAGTTAATGTCTACTAATTTTGATTTTTTAAAAAAAACTAAAGGCTCAACTTATATTTAAAAGTGAAAATCTTAATTTAAAATTTAAAAATTCAATCACTTTCCAAATCCAAATATCAATATTTAATAAAATAAATTTTTGAATTTCAAATTGAGTTTTAATTAAATAAAAAAACACAATTTAACATTAAAACTTTAATTTTTTTTACAAATAAAATTGATATGCATTTTTGCCTTCATTTAATTAGTAAAATTAAAATATTTTATTTTATCTTATTTTTTAAATTAGTTAATTAAATAAAAATATTTTCCTTCCCCATTCCATTTTTCTCTATACAAACAATTTTAATACTAATCATTTTCTTCCCATCACTTCTCCTTATTTTTCTTTCCTTTACTAATTTTTATTTAATCGAAGGCTAAGACTTGAAGCATTAAGACCATCTCTTTCTTACATACCAATGAAATAGCGTAAAACACAATGGTGTGAAAAAAGCTGTGTAACAGTTGCGCGTAATGGACTTCCAGACTGAAGCCGTACATTTAGATAGAACTTGTAAAACGACAAGAAATGAAAGCATTGTGTCATTGGTGTAAAAGAATTTTGCCAGTCCGCAGCCATGCATTAATGAAAATTCGAAGCACAAAACATTTCTGCCTCTGAAATTATCTTT